ACAGATCCAGATTTCTTTTGTGTTAATTTTTATTTATTCTTGAGGAAAAAAAATTTTGGCTTTTCAAGACAGGGTTTTTCTGTGTAGTTTTGGAGTCTATCCTGGAACTTGCTCTGTAGAGCAGGCTGGCCTCAAACTCACAGAGATCCACCTGCCTCTGCATCCCCAGAGCTGTTTTTTTTTAACTTTTTAAAAAAGATTTTATTTATTTATTATGTATACAACACTCTGCTTTTGTGTATATCTGCACACCAGAAGAGGGCACCAGATCTCATAATGGTGAACTACCATGTGGTTGCTGGGAATTGAACCTCTGGAAGAGTAGTCGGCACTCTTAACCTCTGAGCCATCTCCCCAGTACCCCCAAGAACTGTTTTAAAAAGAGGAGAGAGGGAGAGAAAAAGGGACAGAAAGAAGGAGGGAGAGATAGAGATAGAGTTAGAGAGAGAGAGAGAGAGAGAGAGAGAGAGAGAGAGAGAGAGAGAGAACGAATATGTTCCTCCGGCAGCTACCGAGCACCAATAACCCCCCAGTAAGGGGTGGACCTAGACAGCAACTCCCCATCTATGATAGAACAAGAAGAGCTTCCTAAACACAATTTTGTCTTAGAGCCCAAACAACTTTTCATTTAATTCAGAATAAAACGAAAAGAGCCTTAGGAATGCTATGGTTTGCTTCCACCTCCTTTGCAGCTGAGCCTGAGCCCATGCGCTACTCCCTTGGACCTTCCCTGAAAGTCCTGTTGCTTTGTGACACATAGATGAACCGACAGCTGGCCTTGGTGAACTGTGGTGAGGTTGTTCTGGGTGTACAATGTCTCCTGCTTCAACCACTGGGGTACTTTTCTAGTGTCCCACATGGAGTTGGTACCCCAAAGCCTTTTGACACAGTGCTGCTTTGCATGCCGGGGACTCTCCCATCTTGGAAATCTATTCACCTAGCCACAAGGATCTACTACAATGGGATCAGCATTTTGAGGTGCTGAGTACCTATCAATCAGCAAATCGGGTACCATTCTGGCCTTGGTGGCACATGAAAGACAGAGAACCTACACAAACAAAACACCATCCAGTTCAGGTGGGCATGAGGACACTTCCTGTTTGAGTTCCTGTGTGACAAACCATGACCCTCCTTGACACAACTGGCTGAGTCACCATCATAGCCTCTGCCAATCACAAAGAACCAGCTGGTTAAAGTAAACCCCACCCCAGCACTGTAGCCAGTGAGGCTGTCTCTGAAGCACTGTGTTCTGCTGGTAGATCTTGCCTGACCAAACCCCTGCCTGACCACACCCCTGCCTGACCACACCCCTGCCTGACCAAACCCCTGCCTGACCACACCCCTGCCTGACCACACCCCTGCCTGACCAGACCCAGGCCTGACCAATCCCCTGCCTGACCAAACCCCTGCCTGACCATCCCCCTGCCTGAGTTCAGGAGTAGGAGGTGATTCTGGGCTAGAACTCACTGGTAAAATTAAGTGCGAACACACACACACACCACACACACACACACACACACACACACACACACACACACACACACACTTAAAGAAAAAGGAATTAATGAATTTGAGTGAGAACAAGGCAGGCACATGGGAGGAGTTGGGGTGAGGAAGCAGAAGGGAGGAGATTATGTGATTATACCATAATTTCAAAAAAAGTATATTAAACAATTAAACAATTAAGGTTGCCTTGCAGTGATGGTGCACACCGTCAGTCCCCACTTGGGAGGCAGAGACAGGGGGATTTCAGAGTTTTAGGCCAGCCTGGTCTATAGAGGGAGTTCCCGGACAGCCAGGGCTAATCAGAGAAACCCTGGAAAAGCCAACACCAGACCAAATAAAAATAAAACACTCATAAAATTGAAAGAAACAATGCGGGCATGAAGAGAGGGTGAGCAGTTAAGGATTTTTAAATTTTATTTTAAAGATTGTTTTTATTTGTGTATATCTTATTGTTGGTCATGTGCTCATATATGCTGGTGCCACAGAGGTTAGAGGAGCGTGTCAGATCCCAGCCGCTGGGGTCACAGGTGGTAATGAGGTGGCTGATGTGGGTGCAGGGAATGAATGTGGGGAGTTAAAAGAAGAATAGTGGTTACTGAAGACCAAGAGGTGGAGGAGACAGTGATAAGAAAGTTACAGTGGGCAGTGAGTTACAGTTAGGAGGAAGAAATTCTGCCCACAGGAAGAATTGTTACATTACAGACATAATAATATACAATATAGCAATAATATGCTGTATATTCCCCAAAGCTAGAAGGAAGGGAGTCTGAGTTTTCTCCATAAAGAAATAATTGTCCAGTCAGGCAGTGGTGGCACACGCTTTATTCCCAGCACTTGGGAGGCAGAGGCAGGGGGAATCTCAGAGTTCGAGACCAGCCTGGTCTATAGAGTGAGTTCCAGGACAGCCAGGGCTACTCAAAGAAACCCTGTGTCATTAAAAAATAATAATAATGTTAAAAAGGCCATCATGGTGGCTCATGCCTGTGATCTCAGAATATGTAAAGATGAGGTAGGACCATTGCTGTACGTCACTCTAGGACCATGATAAGTTTTCAAAATAGCATGGGCCACAAGTGTGAGACTGTTAGACCCCCGAAAACTCAGGTATCCGGGGTCCCAGGCCACGACTGTGGTCACCCCAAGCACCAGGCAGATTTGAGAGCTTGCTGCAAACTGCATGAGGCTTTATTGTAATTTAACGAGCTAACCCCATGTTAGCTCTGGTCTTTCATCCACCCGCCATGGCGGATGGCTCGCAAAAGACCCTGAGAAGCCACAGGACCGAGATCTTATAGGGCAGCATAAGGGGAGTGTCTAGGCTCACCATTGGTGTTGGTGTGCCTCCAGGCTTGGAGGGCTTGCCCTGTGTTGATTGGTCAACTGGTTGTTATGGCCCATAGGTGGTTGCTATGCTCTGTGCCTCATTGCTGTGCACTTGTCCGTAAAGTACACCCAGGGTCGTAAAGTATAGTGCCACCAGCTAACTTCTGATTGGTTCCTTGTCACGAGGCAGGCACCTAACCTCTAGTGACTAAGACAAGGTCATAGCGAGCACGTGTTAATGTCATGGCTGCCGAAATGGGGGGCTGGTCCCTTCAAGACCTTATCTCAAAACAAAAAACAAACAAACAAAAAAACAAAACAAAAACCCCCACATGGTACTAATTAATTAATACATTCAAATTTTGTGTCTTTATGTATTATTGAAGTTGAAAACAAAAATGAAAATGAAAGACTGTGTCTTAGTTTGCCTTCTATTGTTGTGATTAACAACAACTTGGGCCGGGTATTGGTGGTGCATGCCTTTAATGCCAGCACTTGGGAGGCAGATCTCCGTGAGGACAGTCAGGACTACACAAAGAAACTTTGTCTCAAAACCCCAAAACAAAAACAACTTGGGAAAACATTTCTTTTTTTCCTTTTTTTTAATTTAATTTTTTATTTTTTCAAGACAGGATTTCTCTGTGTAGCTTTTGAAGTGATCAGACACTTACCCAGCCCCCTGCTTTGGGCTGCATGACAGGCTGCAGAAAATACCAAGATGTAGATCTCTAACTCAGCAAAATGTGCTGAGCTTTCCTGACCTTGCCTGTCTTCCTAGTCACTAGGAGGTCAGATACCCTCCATGTGGCAAGGAACCAATCAGAAGTTAGCTGGCGGGCTCTGGATGTGCTTTACAGTAAAAGTGGAGTAATGGTGCCATGGAGAGTATAACTGCCCTGGGAAGGCCCCACGGCCATAGCATCCAGTTGACCAATCAACACAGGACAGATCACGGAAGCCCAGAAATGCACCAATCCTGAGACTGTTGCTTACTCCATAGACACTCCCCTTGCACACCCCAATAAATTCCCTGCCTGGAAGCCCCTTGGGTCCTTCTCACTTCCACCTGCCATGATGGAGGAACAGAAGCCCTGAGTTAACACATTTAACTCATTAAATAATAAAGGACTCTTTGCCTTTGCATCAGAATGGGTCTCTTGGTGATTTGGGGGTTCAGAATTTGGTTACAACACTTTGTAGACCAGGCTGGCTTCCAACTCACAGAGATCCGCCTGCCTCTGCCTCCTGAGTGCTGGGACTAAAGACATGTGCAACCACACCCAGGATTTTCTTAATCTTAAAAATGATAGTTCATAATGAAAGGAAGTCAGGGCAGGAACTAAGAGGCCAGACTGAAGCAGAGACTATGAGTGACTACATAGAGGCTTTCTCCTTAGGCTCACCTTCAGCCTGCCCACGGGTAGCAAAACCCACAGTGGGCTGGGCCTTCCCATGTCAATTATTAAACAATAAAATGTCAGCCTACTGGTTACAGGCTTGTCCACCGAAAGCAACTACTCACTTCACATTTCTTCTTCCCAGGTGAATCTAACTGGTTTCAGGTTGACAGAAAAACACTAACCAGCATAGACTGAAGGTATAGAAAAAACAAACAACTTCTAAAAACCTACACATGGGTAAAACCAGACCCAGAACTGTGGTCACTTCAGTTTCTCCAGTTTGAATTCCTATACCAGTGACTGCTGCACTTTGACCTCTACTGTTTGGGCTCCAAAAGTGAGAAAAAGACGGGAAAAAAATTAAAGATTAGATTCACTTCTTCTCTCTACTGAAAATCAAATTCTAAAAGGTGACTCATTTTAACTGTATTGTCAAGAAGAGCCCCAAAAACCAGAAGTGGAGGCACTTGGAAATCTGAGGCAGGGGGATTAACAAGTTGGAGGCCAGCCAGGTATTCATAGCGAGACCTATCCCAGAAAGAAGAGAAAAAAGATTCGGTAAACGAAGAAAATAATACAAAAGAAGAAAAGAGAAGAAAGGAAGAAAAAGAGAGGGAGGGAAGGAGCAGCCACCTCTGACTCTTGGTTTCTGTGTCAGCCAATTACGAAGGTCCCTAGCGGGACACGCACGCGCGACAGGATTAAGGGCATATAGAAGCTAAAGCAGGCGTGGCTACTTCCCTAATCCAAGATGGCCTAATAGGCGCTCCTAGAGGGAGGCTCAAGGGCTAAGAAAACCATTGGTGGAATTGCAGCTAATTCACAGTGGGTGGGAATGACAGCATCCCGGTTTCCGGTTCCGGCAGTACCAGGATCCCAGTCGAGATGGAGGAAGATGCGAACCGAGTCTGGCTGTCACTGGGAATGGAGGGTAGTGCGGGGACTGCGGTCTAGGAATTCAGGGCTGGAGTTCTCAGACGCGGCCGAACCACCGGGGTCTGAGAAGGTAAGCAACAGCGGTGCTTGGGTGCCTTGAGGGGTAGGAGGTACCTAAGGATCGACTTGTCGAGGAGGCAGCGGATGTCTGCTCTGCGGGGCTACATCGCCATGGGAAGCCGCCTTGCAAATTTGGCTACGAAAGGCAAGTCCGGCGAGGCGTCTCTTCCTGACATGGGAGCATGAGAGGCTGACGACCAGAGAAGCATGGCGAGGGGCATACCCAAGGATCCTGAATTGGCGGTGCAAGAGCCGGACCGAAGGTGCATTAAAGGAGGGTGTCACGTGGAATATGTGGAGGGGGATTGTCTGTTTTTCGAGCAGGGTTTCTCAGTAGCTTTGGAGGCTGTCCTGAAACTCGCTCTGTAAGACCAGGTCGGTCTCGAACTTACAGAGATACTCTTATCTCTGCCTCCGGAGTGCTGGGATTAAAGGCGTGCGCCACCACTTCCCGGCGTGTGGAGGGGATTGTCATGTGTCTGTGATGAGGGATCACGTGGAAATCTATATTAAAGACCAGGAAAGACTGGGTGGGAACCTCACCATGCCGGAGGGAGGAGGCTGTCTTGAAGTAGGAGGAGACTTTGCTAGGACCTAGGGAAAGACAAAAAATAGTCAGCGGTACTGGTGTTCCAGCATAATACGTTCCTGTTCAAGTGGGTGACAGCTCCCAGGACGCAGAGCCTGATGCTGCACAGAGGGCAGGAAGAAGAGAAGGTGCTGGTTAGTATTCGTTTCTGAGACTAGCAGCCCCTGGGTCTGGTCAGGAGCTGACCAGCATTGGAATGGACCAATTGATCATTATTGGTCCAGGTCCCAGATGGAGTCAGAGGGCTCCTAACCTAGTCCTAAGGATCTTGGGCTCCGAGAACAGTTACAATTCTCATAAAACTGACAGTCTCTAGTAACTAAAGCAATGTTCCCCACACTTTGACAATCAATATAAACCACCGAGAGATGTCAGTGTTATTTCTTAATCAGCAGGTGTGAGGTATGGTCTGAAGTCCCCTTCCCCCAGCCTGTGTAGCCGAGGCTGACTTTGAACTCCTGTTTCTCTTGCCCCCGCCCCATGCGCTAGGATGCCTGGCTGTGCTCTTGTACAGGCAACTCCAGGTAATGGCCATGCTGCTGATCACTGTGGGTGGCGAGGACTTAGGGAGTCACGGCTCAGTAGAACTTTGGGCAGTGAGAGAAATACTCTACTGATAACAAAATGCTGTCACATTTAATAGCTCCAGCAGCTGATGATCTAGCTCAGGTGGTAGAATGTTTGCATAATGTGTGGGGAGACCTAGGCTTGGTCCCTGTGCTTAATAATCTGGGCAAGGGTATGGTGGCTCACGTCTGTAATCCCAGCATTTAGGAAATGGTGAGGACAGGAGGATTCAAGGCCAGCATGGGCCACAAGGAGACCCATATAAAACAAACAGCAAAACCAAGTGAAGTTGTGGATTTTGTTTATGTGAAGAGAGTAGAAGTGACAGGAGCTGTCCATGCTTGTTTTGTCTTCCATTTCTTTTGATAACTGCAAGTACAACATGATCCCCAACCTGGGTACATGTTACAGAAAGCACCTAACGATTCACAAACAATGTTCTGTCTTGTTTTTAAAGCCTGGTTTCTTGTAACCCTGGCTGGCCTTGGACTTGCTATATAGTCAAAGATGACTATAGACTTGGGATCTTCTACCTCTGCCTCTCCAATGCTCGGACTATAGGCAAGGGTCACCGGTTTTTTTTATGCTATGCTGGGGATTGAATGTAGGGCCTGGTGCGTGCTAGGCAGGCACTCTGTCAACTAAGCTACATCCTCAGCCCCACGAACAGTGTTAAAGGTGCCAGAAAATCCAGAACTGGGGTCAAGTACACAAATCAGGGTCTGACAAAGGGCCATAAAGAAGTGGACTGGTTGGACCAGGAGAAAGGAAGGCTGAAGAATGCTTGTATTCAGATTTCTGCAAAGAGGATTTTCCAGCAAATGAAACAGGAGAACTGATATTTCAACAGAATGTCTGGAGGTTATATGACAGTGAGCAAACAGAGATCCCACTTTGAGGGAAAAACTTCTTTTTCCAAGGGTGTAGCGCCCTCTAGCCTTCTAACATGGTGCCTTATTGATTGAGTCATGACCTTCCGCGGCTCCTCTTGTTGCCATGACATTGGTAGGAACTATGTGCCTTGGGGAACCCTGGCTTCCTTCAGAGGTTTTATAGAAATTGACACATGTGAGGGATGGAGCAGTGGGCCCTGCCTTGGGATTGCTCATTAGAAATGCCCGCACAGAGTGACAGTTTGACGTGTTTAGAAGGTGCCCATGAAACCCGGTCCTGGAGCAGAATACCTCATTGCTCTGCCCTTCTGCCCTGTGCTGCGTGCAGTTTGTGCATGCCCAGTAGAGGCCTCCTTTCAGCCCTGCTGTGTTTGTCTTGTGATGACCACACGCTTGCTCAGCCAATGAGAACACCGAGAGAGAGAGAAAGAGAGAGAGAGAGGAGGCAGTCCTAACTGTCTGTGGAATAAAGCTGAGAGAACTGGCAGCCATGAGAAATTTATTCTGCCTCCCATGGGAGGACTTAGTTTTCAATTGAACAGAGAAAATTGTGTTGTGTTGAGATCTTCAACTCAAATGTCATGGGACACATAGTGGAGTAAAGATGTTGGCTTTTTTCTTGCCTCCACCACTGAGCAGCTACATAACTCTGGGCTGGTTACATTTGACCTATTATGCAGTCTTCAGTTTGCTCATTTTCCAGAAATGTTTTGTTGTTGCTTGTCGTTTGTACACCTAGTGTTAGCGGCCCAGATTCAAGCAGGTCCTTTAGCTTTCTTCAGGGAAACCAGCTCAGGTGGCTATTCTCTTTCTGGAGTTATCTATGAAGAGCACTCTGACCTTTGGCCTGTTCCTGACTTTTAGACTCCTTTCCCTGGAGAGTGGGGAGGTGATTAGGGGATGCCCCGCAGTGTGAAATTCCCTGCCTGTACTCTTCCCCACACTTTCTTCTAATGTAGACTAGAGAAAATATAAATTACAGCCAGGGCGGGCAGGGGCCTCAGAGCAACCAGCATTGGGGCGGAAGTGCAGTAAGCAGGCACAAATGTACATAGGGTGACTCACACTGAGGATGAAAGGGCAAAGGTAGTTGCTTCTTTAGAGGAACCAGGAGCAGTCCAGTCACCGGGAACCTCTTCTGTGTCACTTAGTGACATCCCATTAGCCATGTAGGCCTCGAATTCAGGTGGATGGATTGTCCACAGCATCCTAAGTGTACCCAGGCAAGGAAGACAGAATGACCTGAGTTCAGGACTCTGATGCCAAGACCTAGTCAGAGACAGAATTCAGAATGGATAGTCCTACAAGCTGAGTAGGGGCTGAGGTGAGGGTGGTCTAGCCTCGTCACGTGGTGAGGAATGATTTGTGGAGGAAGGACTCTGAGTCAAGGACAGAAGTACAGAGGGGCTGCTCTGGATTGTGTGTGGACAGAGCCAGGCTGTCTGAAGGAAAGGTTTTCCTGAAGTGAGTTCCCAAGAGATACAGCCTGAGGGTGGCTTTGAAGCCTGGGCAGGAGGGGAAAGAAATGAAGTTCTGACCTTCCTCACATCCTCCTGCCTGCCCAAATCCCAGGTCTTTGGGCACAATGGAGGACAAGAGAAACATCCAGATCATCGAGTGGGAACACCTGGACAAGAAGAAGTTCTATGTGTTTGGTGTGGCGATGACCATGATGATCCGGGTTAGCGTGTACCCCTTCACCCTCATCCGCACCCGGCTGCAGGTTCAGAAGGGCAGGAGCCTCTACCATGGGACTTTTGATGCCTTTGTCAAGATCCTGCGAGCCGAGGGAGTGACTGGCCTCTACCGGGGGTTCCTGGTCAACACCTTCACACTCATCTCTGGCCAGTGCTACGTCACCACTTATGAGCTTACCCGGAAGTTTGTATCCGACTACAGCCAGAGTAACACAGTCAAATCACTGGTAGCTGGCGGCTCCGCCTCCCTGGTGGCCCAGAGCATCACCGTGCCCATCGACGTAGTCTCTCAGCACCTGATGATGCAGCGCAAGGGGGAGAAAATGGGTCGCTTCCAAGTTCGGGGGAACCTAGAAGGACAAGGGCTAATTGCCTTTGGCCAAACTAAGGACATCATCAGGCAGATCCTGCGGGCTGATGGGCTTCGTGGCTTCTACCGAGGCTACGTGGCCTCACTACTGACATACATCCCAAACAGTGCTGTATGGTGGCCCTTTTATCACTTCTATGCAGGTAAGCAGCGCTTGGGAAGGGGAGCATTTACCGATGGGGCAGCAGTACTGTTGTTTCTATGTGTTTTTAGAGTGGAGATGAGTATGGGGGCGGGCGATCAAATTAACCCCACTGAGTGCTGGGGTCACAGGTGCGTGCCGCCGAACCCAGCTGAACCTTAGTTTTGCTAGCTCTGTTTCTTCTACGTATCACAGTATTTCATCTAGACTTTGTGGTAAGATTGAACTCTGTACTGTCACCTTACCCTTTGGGAGTACATTCTGTCAATCAATTTTTGTTCCTGTGTTTTTGTGAGGCAGGGTCTCCCTGTTTAACCTAGACTGGCTTCAAACTCACTGTAGTCCAACACTGTTGAGCTAACAGCAATGCTTTTGCTCCGTGAGCGCTGGGTTCATCAGACACTTAGGAAATGTAGCTCAATTGAGAGCTCATCTAGCATGTGTGAGGCCGGAGGTTTAATCCCTAGCACTGCAGAAAAGCCAGACTAAATAAAACTAGAGCAAGTTCCCAGGAGCATGTTTTCTCTGGGGTCTGTGTTTGGCCTTTGCCCTCACTTGATCTCATGAATACTTAGAGTTATGTTTCCCTGTATGCCCACAATCTGTAGCATTGTCAACCAAACCTGTCCAGAGGTCTCAGCTGACATGCTGACGCCTGGGCTCTGTGAAGGCTCTACCTGTAGTTCCAGGGGTGGAGCACTAGGCTTTGTGCACCCTTGCACACAGACAGCTGCTTGACAACTGAACTGTATCATTGGCTCTTTAAAAATTAAATATTGGTTTTGTTTTTAAAATAGGGTCTTATTCTACAGCCCAAGCTAGCCTGAAACTCAGTATGTAGCTCAGGCTGTCCTTGAACTCTCAGGAGTTTTCTTGCTTCAGTCTCTAAAGTGCTAGGGTACAGGAAGGGATACCCATCTTACATTTTATTTTTCGATAAGGTTCTGCCTTTGTCTCTTATGCTGCTGGAATTACAGGCTTACACCACCACACTTAGCTAATTTTGTGTTTGTTCTTGAAGTTCATGTATGTTGTTTTTTGTTTGTTTTTGTTTTGTTTTGTTTTTGATTAGGACTCCTGTCTGTACCTCAGGCTGGCCTTAAACTACTGATCCTGCTGCCTCCACCCACCAGGCTCTAGGATTACAGGCATGTGCCCACCACCTAATGCTTTTTTATTTGAGTCAAGGTCTCATATTATCCAGTGTGGCCTTAAACTTGGTCTGCAGCCAAGAATGACTTCAAACTCATGATCCTTTTACCTCTACCTTCCTATCCACCGGCCAGGATGACATGCTGGGATGACAGTCATGTGTCACTAGGCCCAGCTTGTTTTTGACACAGGATATCAAAAACTGTGTATCCCACGCTGGCCTCCAACTGACTATGTACTCAAAGATGACCTTATTTTCTTTCCTTTCTGAGATAAGGCCTCACTATATAGCCCTAGCTTGCCTGATAGATAAGTGGGCCAGACTGCCTGACCTTGAATTTCTTTTTCTTTTTTTTTTTAATTTAAATTAGAAACAAGCTTCTTTTACAGTTCCCTCTTCCTCCCCTCCTCCTCTCCCTCCTACCAACCCTGTATCCCAATCCCTTTCTGCTCCCCGGAGAGGGTGAGGCCTTCCATGGGGGAATCTTCAACGTCCGTCATATCATTTGGAGCAGGGCCTAGGTCCTCCCCTGTGTGTCTAGGCTGAGAGAGTATCCCTCTATGTGGAGTGGCTGACCTTGAATTTCTAATTCTCCTTCCTCTACATCCTGGGTGCTGGGATTAAAGGCTTTTGCACCACGTCTGATGTATGCCATGCTAGGGATCAGATGGTGTTTCAGCTAGGCTAGGTAAGCTCTACCAACTGAGCCCCATACTGACCCCTGTTTATACTTTTGATTTTGAGACATCGTCTCACTAAGCTCCTGGGTTGGACTTGAACTTGCTCTGTAGTCATGCAGGCCTTGGATTTGTGGTCCTCCTACCTCTGCTGCCCAAGAGCTAGGTTTACAGCTGTGCATTATATATGTTCCTAATGGATTAGTCTCTTAAATTCTGGGCATGCAGCTCAGTGGTAGAACTCTCTGCCTGGGGCACCTTTTCCTCTATTCTTTATGTGGCTGGCTTCTCATGCTTCAGGCCTCAATTATATGTTCATAGCCCTGGCTGTCCAGGAACTTACTATGTAGTGCAGGCTGGCCTCAAATTCACAGAGATTTGCCTGTCTGTCTCCCAAGTGGTGGGATTGAAGATGTGTGCCACCCATCCAGAACTTCTTTACCCTGCTGGAAAGAGGACTGTCTCTGTTTTAGGTCCTTTATTTCTTCTTGACACTTCAGTTTGCAATTATTTTACCCTCAATTTCTAGCTCCTTAACTAGAATCTTAAAATCCATGAAAATATTTCTGTTTTTGTTTGTTTTGTTTTGTTTTTTGGGTCTCTGTAGACCCCCTTGCCTGGAACTTGCTATGTAGACCAGGTTGGCCTTAAACAATAAGAGATCCACCTGCCTCTGAATCCCAAGTGCTGGAAATTAAGGTGTGTGCCACATGTGTGGCTCTTCTTCTCTGCACGGGTCCAGTGTTCATCATAATGCCTGGCATTTAGAAACATTAAATAAATATTCGTTTATTACTGGTGTCCAAAGTCACTTAGTTAAAAGAGAGGTAAACTGAGTCTGCCTGTATATTTAGGTGCTCAGTAAGCAATATAAGAGGGAACCAATATAAGAGGGAAGAAAGACGTGGACTCTGTCCTGCCCTCTTAACTCTCTCCATTCTCTCTGTGAGCTCTAGGAAAGTGGTGTCTGTACAGATTAGATTGGAATCTAGGTCCTGTGCAGCTTGCAGGCCTGGGCCCAGTGCATACAGACCCAGGAGGCAGGCAGTGTAGGTCCCAATGCTGCAATCTAACGATTGCAAAATGCCACCTTCAGGAGAAAAAGGGCACCCGTGAGGCAGACTCCAGATTACCCTGTTTCTGTTGGCATGCTTGACTTTGGGGAGAAACACAGTTAGGAACTGGGGAAGAGGCCGCGATGCCAGGCTTATGGAATTCTGTCACATCAACTGCGGCAAGCTGTCTGTGGCTTCTGCCCTGCCAACCCTGTCCTCCTACATCTCCTCTAATCTTTACCTACATAGCCACAAACTACCAGAACTAAGCATCTGAAAAACAATCTTAAGGACTGGTGATTAACAGTAGAAGAGAAACTCTGAAAGGAAACCTTTTGAGATTATAAGTCTATGACCTCCTGTTTTAGTGTAAAAGCCTAAATTCTTCTAGTACCCTCAGGATCCTTGGTTACTTACCTCGAATCTCACTTACTGCTCCCTCCAGTTGTTCTGCCCTAAGTCACTGGTCTTGCTGCCCCCTGAACTCCTCAGGCATGCTGCTACCTTGACACTTTTGTGTGTGTGTGTAACAGTCCTGGCTGTCCTGGAACTCCCTTTGGAGACCAGGCTGGCCCTGAGCTCACTGAGGTCCGCCTGCCTCTGCCTTGGCACTTTTGACAGATGTTATTATTGGAAAGCTCCTTGCCTAGGCACATGTGGCTCATATTCCCACCATCAGGTGGCTTCTGAACGTCACTTCTTCAGGAAGTGCCATGGCTGCTTTGTTCAAAATCACAACTTGGGGCTGGAGAGATGGCTCAGAGGATAAGAGCACTGCCTGTTCTTCCAGAGGTCCTGAGTTCAATTCTCAGCAACCACATGGTGGCTCACAACCATCTGCAATGGATCTGTGCCCTCTCTGACCTGCAGGTCTACATGTTGGCAGAACACTGTATACATAATAAATAAATAAATCTTTAAAAACTGCTTAAAAAAAAAAACAAAAACAAAATCACAACTTGGCATTCCCTGACTTCCTTTCCCACTTTATTTTAGCTATAGTATGCAACTTCTACATGACTGCTGCCTGTTTTACATTTTATTTGTTTATTGTCCTTCTCTCTTCCTAGAATGTGTACTTCCTGGGGGCAAGAATTTGAGGCACTTTATTCACTGTCCTGCCCTCAGGACCCAGGGTGGTCAACCCGTGGTACTCACTGAATCTTTGTTGACTAAATAAATGAATTCTTGTCTTACCTCAAAAGAGAGTAAAACAGAGAATTTATTTGTAGGCACACTTTCCAGTGGCACTGTGAGAAAATAGGCCTTGGTTATTGTTCTTGTTCTGAGACATGGGTGGGTCTTATAAAAATTACAAGCTTGTACTGCTATGCCTGGCTTTTTTTTTCTTTTTTTAAATTTAAGTAAAATATCATGTATCCCTTGAAGTCACTGTGCAGCCTTGAACTTCTGATCCTCCTGTGTCTACTTCCAGGGTGTTGGAATTAGACGTGTGCTGCCATGCCTGGTTTTATGTGCTGGGGGTCAAACCCAGAGCCACAGTCGTGTGCTGCCATGCCTGGTTTTATGTGCTGGGGCATGCTAGGCTGTCTGTGTCCTAGGCTCCATGCATGCTAGGCTGTCTGGTTCTAGGCTCCATGCATGCTAGACTGTCTGTGTTCTAGGTTCCATGCATGCTAGGCTGTCTGTGTTCTAGGCTACATGCATACTAGACTGTCTGTGTTCTAGGCTCCATGCATGCTAGACTGCCTGTGTTCTAGGCTCCATGCATGTTAGGTTCTCTGTGTTCTAGGCTCCATGAATTCTAGGCTCTCTGTGTTCTAGGCTCCATGCATACTAGACTGTCTGTGTTCTAGGCTCCATGCATGCTAGACTGCCTGTGTTCTAGGCTCCATGCATGTTAGGCTCTCTGTGTTCTAGGCTCTATGAATTCTAGGCTCTCTGTGTTCTAGGCTCCATGAATGCTAGGCTCTCTGTGTTCTAGGCTACATGCATACTAGACTGTCTGTGTTCTAGGCTCCATGCATGCTAGACTGCCTGTGTTCTAGGCTCCATGCATGTTAGGCTCTCTATGTTCTAGGCTCCATAAATTCTAGGCTCTCTGTGTTCTAGGCTCCATGAATGCGAGGCTGTCTGTATTCTAGGCTCCATGCATGCTAGGCTCTCAGCATTCTAGGCTCCATATATGCTAGGTGAGCACTCTGCTAACTGAACCCCTTCTTACTTTCTTGAGATAGAGTCTCATGTAGTCTAAGTTGGCCTGGAGCTCACTGTAGTTGAAGATGATCTTAGACTGCAAGCCCTCTTACCTTCATTTTTGAAGTGCATCACCATGCCTGACTGCAGCTTCTGTTTGTTTTGTTTTTTGAAAAGGTTTCTCTGTGTAGCCCTGGATGTCCTGAAACTGGGCTCGAGCTCAGGGACCTGCCCATCTCTGCCTCCCAAATGCTGGGATTAAAGGCATGCTCCATCACACTTGACCCCCCCCCCTTTTTTTTCTGGTCCTCACTATAGGGTAAAGCTTCCTATTTTAATATTAATTGTTTATATTTGTAAAAATATTTATATAGTCAAAAATTCCAAATGAATTTTGAAGGGCTAGGAATGTTGCTGAATTGGTGGTGCTTGCCTGGCATGCATGAAACCCTGGGAGCCGCCTCGGGTACTGTGTAGACCAGCTGTGGTGCTACATGTCTGTAATCCCAGTACTTGGAGGTGATGAGAGGAAATCAGAGCTCATCTTCACCTACATACTAAGTTCCAGGCCAGCCCCAACCCCCCTAAAGGTGAAGAACTTTGAAAGGAAAAGGTTTGCTGTATGTAATGAACAGCCTTCTTATCCATGACAGTCACCCAGTCCCTTCCATAGAGACCACTGTGTATCAGTGTCACATTTTTTAAAGAATTTGAGACAGGGTCTCACACTGAAGCTCCAGCTGGCCTGGGATTTTACTCTGCAGCCCAGGTGGTAACAAACTCATAGCAATCCTGCATCAGTCTCCAGGGAGCTAAGATTACAGGCTGGAGCTACCGTGGTCTGCCTGGCTAATCCTGTGGTTTTAAGTGTCTCCCACTAGAATGCCACATAAGGAAACCTGCAGTATGGGCTACTGTTTTACATCAGAAATGATTTTCTATCAATCAGATGCAAGGAGTCACCAAGCAAAGAGGTTTTTAGATGGATGATATGTCCAAAATGACTTCTGAAAAGCTCTGAAGATATTATAATATGAATTTTTGGTGGATGCAGGTAGAAACAGAAAAGAAAAAAAAATGTAGTATAAAGGTCCAGGATGGCAGAGGGCTGAGGGCTTGCCTTGGCTGTAAAGGCATTGTGGGGGTAGGCCGATGGTACCTTGTATCTTGAGGCGTTGTCTTTCCCTGGATTGCAGAGCAGCTGTCGCACCTGTGTCCTCAGGAGTGTCCTCACATTGTCTTCCAAGCCATCTCTGGGCCCCTGGCTGCAGCCACTGCCTCCATCCTCACCAATCCCATGGACGTCATCCGAACCCGTGTGCAGGTAATGCTGGCCTCCTCCTCCCCACCCTTGATTCAGGCGTTAGAAGCATGATCTGCAGGCCTCCAGTGTGCCAAGACCCTGATAGTCAGCCTTGTAGCCAGCCATTCCAGTCCCTTCCTGTGCTTATCGGTACAGATACCAACTGAGTTCTTGAAAGTGTCTGTATTGTTTTTCTTACGCTGTCTGCACCTTGTACATCTCTACCCATTATGTGGGCAGCCTCTGGGAATTCTCACTGCTTCCTTCCAGCCTTCAGTTGAAATCTGTTCCATACTCTTATCAGCCTAGGCCCTCACCCATCCTTCTTCTTTACCTTGCAGGCTTGTGGTGATGAGAATTATTGTTTCATATTCACTCCAGAAGTCTCTGATTTTTCCACTAGGCCAGGAATCCATTGAGAACCAGGGACTGAAATCAAAGAGGTGATCTCTAAGGTTGAGATCTGGGAGTAGGGAAGAGGAGGCAAGACTTGAAAAAATGAGAAAAGAGACAAAAATGTCCCTTTTCCTTTCAAAATTACCGTATTTATTTATTGTGTGTACATCAGGTAGACATGACAGGAGCAGAAGCTAGAAAGAAACTTGTGTGAGTGGGTGAGTTCTTATGTTTGTGGGTCCTGGGAGTCAAGCCTGGCCTCAGGAGCCTTTACCCACTGAGACATCTTGTTGGTCCTTTTTAAAGACAGGTTCTCCTGTATCCCCAGCTGGATTTGAGCTCTATAACTAACCCCAGTGATGGCCTTGAACTCCTGACCCTCCTCTACGTCTAGAGTATTAGGGTTAGAGGCATATGTTGTCACACCAGCTTTTACAAGTGCTGCACTTTCTAAGCAAGTACTGAATCAACAGCTCCCCAGCTTTTTGTTTGTTTGTTTGTGTTTTATCTTTGAGACAGGGAGCCATGTAGTCCAGTCTTGCTCAAAGATGTTGTAGCTTGACCGGGCGTTGGTGGCGCACGCCTTTAAACCCAGCACTTGGGAGGTAGAGGCAGGTGGATCTCTGTGAGTTCGAGAACAGCCTGGTCTACAAGAGTTAGTTCCAGGACAGCCTCCAAAGCCACAGAGAAACACTGTCTCGAAAAAACAACAACAAAAAAAGATATGTTGTAGCTGTTGCTGACCTTATCCCCCGAATGCTGGGGTTATAGGAAGGTGCCTCGCGCCTTGGTGTTTGATCTTTTGTTGTTTTTGAAACAAAGTCTCAGAGTTCAACAAGGCTGGCTTCAAATTCCCTCTGTAGCTGAGGATGACCTTGAACACTTGATTTTTCCTGACTCTACCCTCCAAGTACTAAGATTAAAGGTACATGCCACTATGCCAGCCGAGAAACTTTTGTGGGTTTTTTGTTTGTTTCTGTTTTATTTTGGTGTGTGTGTGTGTGTGTGTGTGTGTGTGTGTGTGTGTGTATGTATATGCACGTAGAGGTCAGAGGTTAACTTGCAGTAGTTGGTTTCTCTTTCTACCATGTGGGCTCCAGGGGATTGAACTCCTGCCATCAGGCTTGACAGTAAGCAATGAGCCATGTTGCTGGCCTGGGGCTGATTTTAAATAGCTTTCACAGGTCATACTGTGTAGACTCATCCAAAACACTGACAGTGCTTGGTATCGCCCAGAAATTGTAATCCCTGTCTAAGGTCAGCTCTGAAGACAGTTACTAGCACCAAGAAGTAGCATCTGTGGTACACGATAGGCAAAGGGTAGGTATTGCTGTATCAATTCTTAGGGGAACTTTTAAGGTGTAACCAGAGTAATTTAGGATGAAAAGTGGAGAATGGAGAAAGGATATATGGGAGAAGGGTCACTGGGATATGGTGAGGATAGGAGGGGAGAAAGAGTGCCGCTTCCAACATTTGAAAATAAGTGCACTGGCATCTGATTGGGCTGCAGTCACATCCCCCAGTGCCTTTATCATGGAGATCTACGGCTGGCCCCATTCTTTCCTTAACCTTGCCCAGGTGTTTTAGGAGGCAATCCTAGGGAAAAGACAGGTTTCTGCTTTGTGGGTTCTAGGAAGGAGGCTAGGGCCAAGCTGAACATGCCCTTGACATGGCTAAAGAAGGTTGTGGAAGCAAAGCTGGATGAGATGCTAGCGGAGAAAAAGAGGCATGGAGGAGGTGCTGAGAAGAGCTATGGTAGACGGGGCTGGCGCCACCTGGTGAAGATGCACCGGACAGGGAAGGGTATGATAAGGAGTCTGTGTCTTGCACTGGCAGAAGGGCTTTGATATGGGCTCTATAGTTGTGATTTGGGAGCAGGGGGAAGGAGGTAGGACTGTTGAGAAAAATGGGCAAAGAGATCCTGGCTACTGGCTGTGTGACCAACCCAGAACAGAGTGGAGACTTCTAGCCCTGAAGCTGAGAGGGGTTGAGATGACCAGGGCCAGCCATGGATGGGTAGAACTGCTTGAGGGCCTTGTTGGGGATTGAACGAAGCCTCCCTGAGATAGAGATAAGCATGTAGTCCAAAGATTCAGAACTGGATAGCTTGCTTGCCTGAGAGCAGTGAGAGCCGATACTCAGTGAGTGTTCTCCTGCCAGGCATCGCTAATGCAGTCTGTTGTTGTTGAGACAAGGTTTCATCATGTAGCTCTGACTGGCCTGGAACTCACTGTATAGACCAGGTTGGCCTCAAATTTACAGAGATCGGCCTGCTCCTGCCTCCTCAGTGCTGGGATTAAAGATGTGTGCCACCATGCCTGGCTCCATGGTTGGCATTTACAAGTATTGTTTTCTTCTTGTTTGTAACAACCGTGTGACACAGGGACTATTATCATAATTTTCTATTTGAGGAAACTGGGGTAGAAAGGGTTAAGTAAACTCAGAATCTGTCACCAGAGCTTGGAGGAAGTCACTGTGCTGTCCCCAGAATCAGAGTCTAGCCCTTGGAGTCCCCACTTGAGCCTGAAGCACACTGTGGGTGAGCAGAGCAGTTATGACTAAAGTCAGTTGGTGGACCTTCACTGTGGTGATTTTTCCAGGTTGAAGGCAAGAGCTCCATCATCCTGACCTTCAGACAGCTGATGGCAGAAGAGGGGCCTTGGGGCCTCATGAAGGGCCTCTCGGCCCGAATCATCTCGGCTACACCCTCCACCATCGTCATTGTGGTGGGTTATGAGAGCCTCAAGAAACTCAGCCTCCGACCTGAGCTGGTGGACTCAAGACACTGGTAGACAGTGGTGGACAAAGAGGCTGTGGTTTCACACATTATTCTGGGCCAGGGTAGAGCAGGGAGGTTAGTACCCTTGTGAATGCCACCATGAATACCCATCCTGCTCCCTGACAGGTGACCTATCTGGGACAAGAGAAGAAACTCTGGACGGGTCCTGCTGCAGAAGTTCTGTGCCTGGCTTCCCTGTTCCCAGTAACTTTATTTCTCCTGCAGATCTGGGCCCCTCACTAGGTCCTTGTACTCAGTCATGGCCTGAAGGTCAACCTCCACGGGACCCTGTGGACCCTGTCAGCCCCTCACTGGTGCCCCTTTCTCTGTGTCTGTCCCTCGGGACTGGAGAAGAACTGCTATAGAGTTTGCTTGTCCCCTGCTTCTTCCTCTTGAGTCTTTAAGCCAAGGCTCTAAGCAAAACTACCCATGATTTATTTTTTATGCTTGCTTATTTTAAATTTGGGACCTGAGTTGTCCACTGGACTACTATGCTTTGCCCTGCCTTTTGGGGACAAAAGGTAGTAGCAAACACTCTTCTCTAGGAGTTACCAGGAGGGAGAAATGCCAAGGCTTTACTTGTGTGTATATTTGGACGTCTGTGAACCAGACAACTAACTCTGAGAGCATCAGGCCTGCTGTCAGAACCCACTCCTTGCAGAAGTGGAAAACTGTGATGTCCATCCCCATTCTTTATCCCTTCCCTGTCCCTTCAGGCCTGGGAACCTGAAGACTAGGATGGGCTGTTGGCCTCCGTTGGCCCAGGAGACTACAATGGAGGCCACAGTTCAAAGTGGATCAGACTTACTGGAGTACACTGGACTTGGAACATTGCCCTAAAGCCAGGTTGAGAGAGCCACTGGCTTGGAAAGTTATGAGAGAGTGTGTGCTCCTCACTGTTATCTCCTCAGGCTAGCTGAGCCAAGCCCAGGAGGCAGCAGTGGAGGTTCTGAGCCCCAGGCAACAATGCCACACACATAACATGTCACTCAGATGAATAGCAACAGGTGTCTCACAGTGGGACTCTGGAATATGAACTGTCCTTGTTTTTCTTGTCCTTGGTTGTGAAGTGTCATCCCAGTCATGGTACCCTGTGCTGGCAACAGTAAGAAGAATAGTCAGGAAGGCACCCAAGGCCAGGCCCACTGCAGTTACCAGCCTCATACTGCCAAAATCGTTGCTGCTGCCGCAGGAGCCCCTTCCCTGCCTCCACCAAGCCTGTGCAGGAGGTGGAGAGGCATGGCACTTGGATGGAAGAAGGCAGTCATATCTTGACTTCCTGCTTATGATGACGGCCTGGATGATGCTTTCAACCTTTTGTAGTGGTCCCATGCCTTGGGAAATGCCATGGTGCCAATTTGGAAGGTGCTAGCTAAATGAAGCCTTCGTGTTTCTCACTGCTGCTCCACATTCCCCCATCCTGACCTTTGAACCCTTTGCTTTCATTTGTCTCCGTGTAGTAGTTGTTTTGAGACAGGGTCTCAGACATGTCCTAGGCTGGGTTTGATTCTCTATGTAGCAGGGGATGACTTTGAACTCTTGATTCTCCACCACCTCCTGAGTTCTGGGTTTACAGTACCCTGCCAGGGCTCACTTCCTGCACTTTATTGAGAGACTCCTCCAATTTTGTCCACAATCATCCGAAGGGTACAGCCCACAGTAAATTTTGAAATTTTTTAAAGATTTTATTTATTTATTAATTATGTATACAACATTCTGCTTCCATGTATATCTGCACACCAGAAGAGGGAACCAGATCTCATAACGGATGGTGGTGAGCCACCATGTGGTTGCTGGGAATTGAACTCAGGACCTCTGGAAGAGCAGCCAGTGCTCTTAACCTCTGAGCCATCTCTCCAGGCCAAATTTTGAAATTTTTGCCCCCTCTACCTTAAGAACTGTCAATACAATGGAAGCAAGGACTCCTCTCAAGTTTTTCCTATAACAACCTTTGCCCCCATATTTGTCTCTCTCGTCTTTCTTTGGTCCAACCTTACTGGGGCGATGTGTGGACCGCACAAGAGGTCCCCGCCTTTCATGCCTTAGGTTATTTCTCCTCCTGACTTCTTGTACGGTGTTAAAGTCTCCCTCTCCTGCCCCTTCCCCCCCATTCCTCTGTTCCCCTCTAGTTTGAAAGGACAATGCTCGTAAAGGTAAAGGGACCCCTCTCCTGACCCCTACTTTCCCAAGGTCAGGGGCTAGGATTGGCCTTGGTGACGATGGGCAAGTGGGCGCCCGTTTTTCCAAAACTGGAGAGCAAGACAGCCAGAAATTTTAACCTGTTGGTCCGTAACCTAATTATGAAACTTTAGAAAAGACAGGAAAACTGGAGGGACATGGGAAAGAAAATGCACTTAAGCATTTGGTAAGAATGGACTTTTGAGGATATTAGCTGCGAATATTCACTGTTGCACTGTATGAAATCTTTGAAATGTAATTAAAAGTTTTTATTGAACCCCTAACTTCGACTTGCGAATGTTTTTCCAGGCTGGGAACCAAGCTGTCAGAGGTATAATATAGACGACGTGTCCTCTGGCCCGCCTCCTCTGGCAACTGCCCCGCCCCATCCGGTTCAGTGACTGGCATTCTTTGCCTCCAATCAGAGGTCCTGGTGGGAGGGGCTCCGAGGGCAATTCATTTTGGCGGTTCAATTTCGACATGGCTGAGGTGAGCCATGGTAATGAGGCTGTGGGAAAGGGGCCTGAGGGTTCATCTCCGGAATCTGTGCCAGTTGATACGACCGTCTCCAGGGTGAAACTCCTCGACACCATCGTGGACACTTTTCTCCAGAAACTAGTCGCCGCCAGGAGGTAGGTGGAAACCAATGGTGGCGGCGGGAGGGTTTGTTCTCTGGGCCGTAAATCCCGCGAGATCGGGTTGGTTCAGTCACGTGGCGCGGCCTTGTGAGGGGCGGTGCGGCGCCCCCTCCGCAAACTTTCTCCTTTGGTTTAACCTGCCGAGGCGGAGAAGCAAGGTGCTGACTTGAGTTAGGTCCACTTCTCCGCCCTCCCGCAGGGCAAGCGCCGGGCTCCTGGTGAGCCGCGGGGCCGCCGGAGTGCGCTCCCTAGCGCGTCACCGGTTACCCGCGCCTGGCGGGAAGAAGCGCGGGAGGACGCGAGGGCTCAAAGTAGTCACAAGGACAGACGTTTTGCTCTTTCGACTTTGACTTCATTCGAGGATATCGTACAGTTTTAAGCCAAGGGTTTTGCCCCCGATCCCACCGCCCTGGCGCCTATGATACTAATAGCCTTGCACCCGCCTGTCTTCCGTGATCCCCACTGCTTAGCCTCAGTGATTTCCATTCGGTCAGGCTTAGTGGTCCACTTTTATAATCTCAGTTACTCCGGAGGATCGCGAGTTTAAGGACAGCCTGGACAATTTAACCAGACACTCTCAAAATTCAAAACCGAGCTGAAGTTCAGCCCAGACTCCGAGGTTCATTCTTAAATCTGGTGATGAGGGGAGAGATTTGGGGAAGAGTAACACTCCTATTTTTAAATGTTAAGTAGATTTGTTCATGTTATGTGTGGATGTTCTGCTTGCATGTATGTATGTATGTACCACATACGTGCCTGATGCCACATACTCCACCCCCGCTCCCCATGGACAAAATTTGAAAGAGAAATCTTGGATTTGAAGAAATGGCCTGGTAGTTAAGAGTGCTTTCTGCTCTTCCAAAGGACCCACCTAAATTCAGTTCCTAGTGCTCAGGTCTGGCAACTGATAATCCCATGTAACCTAGCTCCAGCACCATATGTGTGTCTATATGTCTGACATATAGACACATGCACATGTGCGTGCTCGTGTCTTTTTTAAAAAGCGACTTAATATTTGAAGCAGGGTCTCTGTAAGTTGCCAAAGCTTAACTTGGACTACTGGGCCATCTCAGCCTCTGAGATGACAGGGCCACCTCACAGCTGCCGTGCCTTCTGCATAGACCCTGTGGTCTGCCTCTTTACTTACATCCTAACAAATATCTCTGAGCCTTCTCAGTATTTGGTGCTACAAATACTATAAACAGTCAAGAGACTATTCATGGGTAGATATAACAAGATAATCACAGGGCTTCTTAACTTAGTTAGCAGATGAGTTGGTGGATGGGTGTCTAGTGCAGAGAATTAGGTAAAATAAGAGTGATCTACTCAGCAGGCACCAAGCCTTTAATCCCAGCACTCCTGCAGAGGCAGGCAGACCTCTGTGAGTTTGAGGAAGTAATGATGGAGCTAGAATTTGAAAGATGGGAAAGAAATAGTGTTTTTGAAAAATAAAGTTCAGGCATACAGGCCCTGGGGTAGTCATCACTGTCACGGTATAGATGTCCTTTACTACAGTGTAGTGGTCTGAGGGAGAGTCTAACATTCTCAATTAGAGCCCGGCTTTGCATGATAATTTTAAAAAAGATTCATTTTTTGTAGATATGAGTGGTTTGCCTGTATGTGTGTATGTACCACATGTGTTCCTGGTGCCCTCGGAGGCCAGAAGGTCTCAGATCTCCTGGAACTGAAATTATTGATGATTGTAAGCCTCCATGTTGGTTCTAGGAACCAAACCTGGGTCCTTTGCAAGAGCAAACAATGTTCTTAATGGCTGGGCCATCCATCCTTCAACCCCCGCACCAGCATGGCAGTTTGATAAAACATTTTTTAAATATTTTATGTGCATCACACACTCTCAATACGTTTCTAGCCAATGTCCCTCACTTATTTAGTTTTCCAAACTCTGGTCTTCTCAAACACATACTAGTTGGCTATAGGACCTCAAATTATTTATAGTATAAATAATCATGACCAGTGACGGTGCCCAAACTGTTAGAGATGCTGGACATACAGCAGTGACAGATCAACAAGGTCTCTGCCCTTGTGGAGTAGACATGATATTGATATAAAGAACAAGTCAAAGCTGGGTGTGGTGGTACACACTTGTAATTCCAGCACTTGTCTACTGGAGGCAGGAATGAAGAATGGAAGGGTTATGTGGTCACAGTTGGTGCTGGGAATGACAAACATCTCATCACTAAAGGGATTTGTCAGGTTGTATCACACACACACACACACACACACACACACACACACACACAGGTACAGATCAGTGGAAGGCCACTAGAGGTTGACCCTGGCCTCCACATGTATGTGCACATACCAAGGCACATACATGTACACCCACAAGAACACACACATGCTTTAATCTGGATGTGGTGGCTCACAATTGTAAACTCGGCAGTGAGTAGACTGAGGGGAGACTGCAATGAATTCCAGCACAGCCTGTGAGTTTTAGGCTAGTCTGAGCAATGGAATGAAAGTTATCTCAAAGCAAACACAAATAAACCACCCATTACCTTTACATGACTGACACATGAATAAAGAAACAATTTCTGTGTTTCTGTGACCTAGAAGACCTAGAAGGTGGTTAGCCAGCAGCTGCTCCCCACTATGTAAGGACCCAGGAAGAGAAGAGGGTGACAGATAACTTCTGTCACAGACCTAAGTACTTTGCCTTTGAAATAGAAGACTTTTAATAGCTTGGAAGGGTTGGGAGGAGGGGAAGCCAGGAACCCAAATATCTGCATATATCTTGTAAGTCTGGAGCCCAGCATTCAGGAGGCTGAAGCAGGAGGATTCTGAGTTTGAGCCAGCTTGGGCTACATGCAAAGACTGTCTAAAAAATATATAAAGTCTGTATTTGCCAGGAATTCTCCAATCACTCTCCAACCCTACTACTCCCAAGTAGTTCAGTCAATAGGCTATTCTTTCAAAACTTAACATTTATTGCGCCCTTTCTGAAGGGAGACCAACTGAATCATCTACTTAACCAATGAGGAGAATGTTATAGCAAGAAACAACAGGGGAAAAAAGTGTCAAGTCTGAGGACTTGAATTTGCAGGCAAAGTGTTTGCTTTGTACCCCAGGCCCAGACCCGAGGTTAAAGATGTAGGCAAAGCAGGGAGTGAGGCATCCCCAAACCAACTGAACATGTCTAACAGAAGGTCATGATGAAACCATGTGGACTGGAGGGTGGAGATAAGACCAAGGCCAGAAGACAGTGTGGAGTCTGATATTGCGTTCAGTAACTGACAGTGATGGCGAGGCTGGAAGTAAGATTAGAAATGCAAGAAGGGTCAGTGTGACCTCCCAAATAGACCTAGAAGGTGGTTAGCCAGCAGCTGCTCCCCACCATGTAAGGACCCAGGAAGAGAAGAGGGTGATCCACATGGAGCTTGACTGCTCTGTGGGACACTTAATGAAGATTCCCAGTAGTAAGTTAGTGACAGAGGTCTGACATTCAGGCGATGACCTGGGGCTCATTCACCCCAGAACCATTTCTTGAAGACCCAAGTGCACTAGTTGCTACTTTGAGCACCAGGCAGGATGAACACTGTCAGCCAGACCATCCCTTTGAGTCTTACACTGTATTCAAGGAAGGTGAACTGTCATAGTTTGAATAGCAAATGACCCTTACAGGTCCATGGACTGAAAGTTTGTCTCCAGTCTTTGCTGCTCAAAGGTGGTGGAACCCCTATGGGATAAGCCCAGTAGAAGGAAGGTAGCTTACTGGAGCTGGATGGCTGAAGGGGATATTGGGACTCTGGCCCCTTCTTCCTACCGGTAAGTGCTATACTGACTGAGCTCTCTCCCCAGCTTCTACCCTCACTCCACAGTTGGAATTGTGCTTTGGATTTGTATAGCAAGGTTGACCTGCTATTCTGTTATGCTGTTGGAGCTCAGTAAGTTGTTTGTGTTTGTTTTTGAGACTTGGTCTTGTATAGTTCAGGCTGGCCTTGAACTTCTGGTTTTCTGCCTCCCAGATGCTGGGATTATTACAATCACTACAAGGTGAGTGCCATCATGCCTGGTTTTATTCAGTTCTGAAAGCTGGACTTATGGCTTTTCACTCTAGGCAACAGTTCTACATCTGCAGCTGGAGAATCCCTTCTAAGGGATCAGGGCTGCTGTCACTGCAGGAGGCCAAATTGGACACATTTTGTAACTCAGCTTGGTCTGTTTTCAGATCCCTGCTTCTTTTGTGCCGGTCACTGCTGCCCTCTGGTGAACAAACTGTGGAACTGTTCAGTCGGGAAGCCCACTGTGCATACTAGCATAAGGCAAGCCTGACTTTTTGTTTGTTTTTTTGAGACAATATCTCATTTGGCCCATGCCGGCCTAGAACTTGCTATGGCTCCTCCTGCTTCTACATCCTGATAGAGAGCTGCGGGTGTGTACCACCACACATAGCTTCTGGCCCATTGGCTCCCTTGGCACTGTGTATGCTTGTGATACTGCCCAAGACTGTTAGTGTTTCTTGTCTAGGCCTCTTACATTTCGATGAATGTACAAAGCAGTATTTGTATTTGAGCATCTACACAGAGAATTCAAGGACAGCCAGGGTTGTATAGAGAGACCTTGTCTCAAAGCAAAAAAACAAAACAAAGAAAACCAGGTTGACAAATGACTAGCTTTCTCTAGTCTCTACAGTGAGCACATGCTATCAAGTCCAGGTCCCTCCACCCCCCTTTTCTTTTTTTTAATACCCTCTATCACCCAGTATAGCCTGGAACTCAGATAGACTGGCCTTGAATTGTAAATGATCTTTCTGCCTCTGCCTCTCTGCCTCTCTCTGCCTCTCCCTCTCTCTGCCTCTCTCTCTG